TTTTTTTTCGGTTTTAGAGTTACTTTACACAATAAATTCAAATTACACCGGTACAGGATGAAATGGATAACCCTCCTGAAGAGTCAAGCCTTGAAAACGTTAATATTAAGCCGTTGGACTCTGATTATACGGATATTTTAGAAAATGGTCATACGGTTCTTTCAGAAGACCAGTCCGAAATCCCTAATGAGTTTGTAAGTTGAGTAACTTTTTAGTCATTAACACAACTTGCATGGTTCTTTATTATATAAAGTTAACCATGAATTTATCATTTGTGTCCTCATTCACTTGTAAACTAATAAAAGTCTTTGTTCCTTTTCCCAAGACTGATCTTTTTTACCTCACTCTTCACAGAACACGGGAAACGAGATGGAAGTTGAAATGTGTAGTCCAGATAGATTACTGCATGAGGACTTCATTGATGCTTCCGATGAGCTTCTGATCGTTGAGCCAAGGCGATCTTTTGATTTTAATGTGGAGTTACTCCGAGCAACATGTGAAAGCCTTTATGAAGGGATGGAAGCATCCGAAGCGTTTTTGTACATCGGGGCTCGTCTACCATTTTACGGGAGTTCAAACGTATGTATCTTTGGAAAAGAACCGTTCCCGCGAAGAATTGATGAGGTAATAATTTCACTTTTTAAAGTAGGGGAAAGGATGCGAGTTAACTTGTTCAAAACAGATGTTTACAATCGTGCAGTTGCGTTAGAAGTAAAACAGTGTTTTAAAAAAAGTTCTTTTCAAGTTGAGAAATTTTACATTAATAGCAATAAATGCAGTTTATCTTTTTTTGCTGGAGGTACTTTGATAAAACTCTTACCACAACTGCTTATTTCCAGACCCGTACACTTGGTCCTGTCGAATGTGACCTTCCCTGTTCATCAAACAGCTTAAAACCGGCATTGTTTTCGCCCGCAACCTCACAATTAAATTTTGTGTCTTGTAATGGGGCCGGTATGGCGCAGCAGTCTGAAACTGATGGTATAGCGAGCGAGGTGTACAACTGGCTACCAAAGGTAAAGCAATATTGTGCTTAGTTCTTTCCGGTTCTTCATATCCTAATTTAGGATTTTCAGCCTGAAAACCAGATCAGCATGTTGCATTTTATTCATTCAGTCTTGGGACATTTGTTTACACTCCTTACGCGAAGAGATGATTTATTTTTGGCTTTAAGCTGTAACTGACTTTTTCCTTTGATATGTTCCACTGCATCTAGCTAAGGTTTGATCCTTCCTTAGACCGATGTACATTTAATTTCTTTAGAAGAGATACAAAATTGATTTGATCGACAGGCACTTCGAAGATTTCTATTCACGTGTTGCACATCCAATTATTCGTGCCTTCAAAACAACTCAAAGGACCTTGTTCTTCATTGACCGTAGTTTGAGTTTCTTTCCTGGGTCGCTAGAGCACTTAGCGCAGAAAATGGTATGTTCTCACGATTTTCGCCAATAATTGCTGTCAATCGCATCATATCAGATGTAAGCTCAGTGTGCTAAATGACTGATTAGTATTTAAAATCTTTTCCACTTGTATAACTGGCCTATTTCAGCCATATTTGCTTTTTGTTTAATCTTCAAATGTCTTTTTTTTAGTGAAATCAAAAGTTAACCTTACACATGGGACTTTGAGACAGGGGTTTCAGGGTTTAATAGGATGTTTGGAGTATTTTGATCGTCGATTGTCGCAAACAAAGCTAGACATGTACTCATTTGCTGAAAGCTTCATCGACTTTTGTATGCTCAGTGAAGATGCGAAAAGGACGGTAGTCAAAAAAACGTTCTTTGAGATGTCGCTTGTGGCTTATTCTGTGACTTGTGCAATGAGCAACAAAGGGAGTTTAATGACAAGTAATAAGATCTTGCCATCGACGTTCTTGGGCTTTTGTCAGGAAGAGCTGGCGAGGAGGTTCGATGCAATGGTAGGAAAAAATTAGTTTTGAAAACATTTGGCTTTAGGCCAGCTAGCATCTTAAGCTTTGGCATATTTCCAGGTGGCTAGTTGTTTAAAGTCGCTCGTGAGGCAGTCTTTAGGTTGGGAACTAGGGGCAGTCGTTTGCGCCTGGATCTTAAACCAAGGGATGAAGGCACAAGACACTTACGGCTATGTCCCCAAGCTGGAGAAGTGCCTTCGGTACAAATTCCGAACGGTGAGTGCTGGTGTGAGAAAACTTCTTGTTTCAGTAATTACGGAAAGATAACAAATTTTTTTAAAAATGAAGAAAGAAAGAAATCTGTCTAGAAAGAAACATGGTAATCATTACAGTTCGAGCACCCGGAGCAAGAATGGAAATATTTGTCCCATACAGTTTACAAACTTCGTAGGACACGCCTGATGTACGAAGATCTGTCGGGATACGCTCATTGTGCCTCGGTTTGCCAGCCCATAAATGAGCCCCACCTCGACCTTACCCCCGTTCAATATTACCCAGTTTGACTAGCCACTCGAAAGCATTTGCCGTGAACCATAAAGAATGACGTCAAGTCAAGATTGGAATTATGATTTTTAGTCTTTCCTTTTCCTGATAGAAATTACGGGTAACAGAGGGTGGAACCAAGTAACGCTTCTCGTGAAAGCGACGTCCAGGCCGACCCTCGAATCAGTTCCTCACCAAGACAAAGTCACCCCCGCTGTTATTAGCCGTCAAAAATCTAAGCCCATACAACACCACTAATTCATCACCATACCTTCATACTTGTTGCGATGGGCCAGTAAAAAATTGTTAAAAGTGCTCCTAGTTGCTCCGTTTCTTACAATTATTTATTTGACTCTGAAAAATATATTTTGCAAGTCGTTAACAAAAAACACGGCCCTAATAAGTGGACCAATGAAAAACACTAACTATAGAATTAACTCAAAAATGGAAGACTTACAGCAGTAACAAACTGTTCACATTGTAACCAAAACGGTACATGTACAAGAACACTTAATGCCATCTTACCATGAAGTCGCTGATTCAAAAAGCAAAAATTTTTCAAAAAATGGAGTTGTAAGGAGAAATGAAAAGGAAAAAGATCGCCGTATTCAGAAAACAAAGGAGTTGAAAATACAACAATTAAGTGTGGGTAAGGGTGACTAAGAATACAGAGGAGAATGAGCAAGTAACTTGCGCAGTTAGGCGCTAAGTGTGATGAGATAGCAGAGGCTTCAATATACAGAAGGTTACTTATGAAAAAAGACGCAATGAAAAACCAGTGTAGTTCGAGATGCATCGAGATGACGTAGACCAATGAGGATCTTCGAAGAGCTAGAAATCAGATGTCTCTGCTACGAAAGCTGGGTACGTGTGAATGTGTGGACTTTCGGCTCTCGCAAACGTCTCGTCCATCGACGTTTTTTTCCGCCGTCTTATACGTATGACAAGAATCAGTACGAACTGGAAAAAAGATTGCTGAGTTCTGATAGTCTAAATACATGCACTTGGAGTTTCAAGAAGTACAACTTACGCACGAAAGAACGAATATAACTCCTAAAAGCCAGTATACAGTTTCATTTCTGTTGCACTCGCCCTTAAACTAAACGCAAGTATCGCATGAATAACAAGAAGAACAGCCGCTGGTTGGAAAATAACTTACAGTTTTTAGCGCCATATTAGAAAGGACAAGTGAACAATTCTCAAGACTCGTCTCTTTGTTCCTAAGTGCGCAGTAGTGGCTGTCAAAAAGCAAAGATAATGAGACAGAACTGCTTAACTTGGATTTCTTCGAAGGCAATTCACATACTATCCCATTACTATTTTTCTTTTTCAAGTGCCTAAAATAAAAAAAAGAAAATAATTTTCGCTAATTTGCAACTTCTAGAAGTCCGCTTAATTAGTATGAAGGAAGCAAATCTCATTTGATTTTTATAAAATAACACGGTTCCAAAGAGCTAGATGCAGTAAAAACTATAGAAATTATAAGCAGATGAAGAATAATAAAGCTCAGAACATGGCTCAACGTGAATTTTGTCATAGTTTCTGAAAATCTTTACAGCGTGAAATAGACAATCCTGCTGGAAGAACTCATGTAAGAAAGCACAACGTCGTGTGTTACGCTAAAGTAAGCACGGTCATCGTGGAAAAGCAGCTCTAAGGTTCCCGGCGAACCCGTAGAAAGTACTGACAATAACTCGTTAAATGGAACTGAATAAAGCCCAAGTTCTTCGTCTTGCTTAACACCGTAATAAAACTAAAATGATAAGCACTTTCTTCACTGAGGAATTGAAAATAAGTACTAAAATGTATTCATAGGCACACAAGGGATTTAGTTCATCAGCCGCCGTGACTGGGCAGGCTTAACACGGTGTAAAACAGCAAAAGACGGAAATAAGAAAATAAAGCACTGAAAAAATTGGAAGGACTGACCTTACGCTCATACGGGTCTTCAGACCACAAAACCCTGAAATCGTTTTCGGGATGCACCGGCATCTGACCAATATAAAGAAAACTAATTTGTGTTTTGCTAAGATCTGCATAAAAGATGTAGCAACTAACAGAACGCCGTTGACTGGAAGTACTATTGAGAACAAGATAAAGAAGTCGACTATCATTGTCGAACAATGTGAAGAGCTGGAAAACAAATATTTAAGGACTGCTTCATGGACTTCTAGTGCAGCAAACCCGTTGATGCGTTAAGAAAGTGGCAAAGACTATTTAGGCTATCTTGTGAAACCAGAGAGTGATGTTTACCAAGTCTTGATAATCAATTTTACTTCCAACTGGAGACGGATCCTTTAGATCTATTAGGGTGCTTCGGAAGGCAAACTGACTTGCGCCTTCCTCCGGCCAATGAAGATGATTCAGCTTAGCCACTACATACCCTGCAGAAAAAACTGTCAGTGAAAAGTCAAACATAATAAAGCAGCAAGAGAAACCCTGATTTTACGAATGCCTTAACAACGCGCGTTCAAAAAGTATTTTTGATAATTTCGGCCAAACTGCCGTTTTATTTGCTGCTTTCTCATAACAACGAAGTACCAAATGACTCACCATCAAATGAAGGAGCGAGTATCAGCGCCTGGGGCAACTCCTTGTCAGCTAACAAAACATGCAACTTTGCCAGTGAACAAGGGGGGGAAGTTTCGTATGTACTAAAGTTACCATCGACTAGAGCAGATGTAAAAAGGAGTTTAATAAAAGTAAGCAACAGGTCATTTTAGGAACCCCAATACGAAGACCAAAAAGCATTGAAAAGCGTTCAGATTTGAGAGTGAAAAACACTTATCGCGATCTCGGTAAAAAAGTGCAGTCTCCAACAAAGAGTACAGGCTAGGAAAAAGAATTATATTACAAAGTGTAACTTAAAGTATCAAACATAAGTTACTGCGCGTCTTAGACTTGGAAATTTGGATGTAAATTAGGGAGAAGAGAGGGAGAGACAAGGAGTAAAAAACAAGAATAAATATACCTCGTTTGATATATTACGTGATATGGACAGTTTCCAGGCGGCGGACTACGTTCAACAGTTAAATGACAATTTGATAAACCAATGAATAAAAACTGATCTGTCTCGAAGTACTCAGCAAAGGAATAATGTGCACCCATAACATATTTTACGCTACCATAAACAGCAGCAATCATCAGAAGTGTGCAGAGTAACATGACGGTGGCAATCTGCAATAATTAGACTACAGTTAAGATACCAAAGAAAACCTGCATCAGGCTGTGCCAAGTAAGCCAGGGGAAACAAACCTTTCAGCAATAATTAACTGATACACTTACTTTTTGAGTTTCTTCGTAATTAGCAAGCAAGAAAAAACATGCAAGTAACGAAAATGAAAATAACTGTAAAGCTGTTGTCCACATGACTGTTAGGCCAAAAGTGAAAACCACATAAGGAATGTGCGACGTCAAGAACTAATGCAGAAGCGACCAACAAGAAGTTTCCATTACTCTTTTAAGGGTTTTCAACAAATTTGCCATAGCAGAGCAAAGACGTATAAATGACGATAAATTCACGAAAGATCAACAGTGGAGGGTCGTCGCAATTTCAAATAAGCCAAAACTTCTGAAGTTACGAAATTTAACGATTTGGCAACACATCAGTTGACCGCCTCCGATAAGTTACAGCCATGTTGGCTTCGGCGGCCAAGTAACTCACCGCTTTCTCAACACGAAGCCATAATAACTGCAAAAACCCACTAACTTTGGGCGGGATAATGGATGCCAAGAAACTTTAGGAAAAACAGGTCCAAAATAAAATGACGGACAATGACGCTGCCTAACAATAAACGAGTGAACGGAACATTTGGTTCTGTTATATGTCGTTGATTCTGCTATGCGAAATAACCGTTGCGGTACAGCGCCTCTTTGGTGGCAGATCCTGAGACGTACGCCGCCATCAACATTCAGGATGTTTCAACGTCGCTTTACTGTCCAACAAGTTTCTTTGCCTCATTTATTGAGTCCAATTCGAAATCGAAAATATTTAAACTTTTTTCTCATAGTGTAATTTGCAACTGACAATTACAATGACCACTTGTAACTGTCTGCTGCAAATTACACTGTTGGATCAATGATGACAGATTAACCAAATGGAGTGGTACCGCAATGAAGTTCTTGAAGACGCATTCAATGTACTGACCAGCTGCGTTGTATGAAACTTCATTCATGCAGAGGTTCATTTGTTTGTCTCAGCATTTTTCTGGATTCTGCTGCTCCATCCAGATGCCTACTTTTGAAGGTTCGATGAACGTACATCAGTCAGTTCGATTATCTTTTAAGCGATAAATTATTCTTAATCTGTTACCCAAGTTCGGAGAACGACTGTTACACAGGTCAAAATTTCTTCGTTTTTAATTTCTTCTACAGCAATTACCGTTCATCACCGGTCACTTCTGCGGGCTACCGCAAAAACTATATTTAGCAGCATTAAAACTTGTGCCCATTGTGTTCAAATGTAGTTTTGTAATTACAACAGCAACAAATTCTGTCACTTTATAACTATAATTTAGGCAATATCTGGTACAAAAAAATCATCGTAAGTCCGATAAACAACAGTCTTCAGTTGTATATGACTGGAGACAGCAGGGAATAGTAACAAGAGGAACCAAAAGTAACTGTTTTTTAAAATGTTACCTTTAAAGCAGAAGAAAGAGGGAAGAATTGTTGTAAGTGTTTTTAATGGCACCAGTCACTGCTACAATATTACATTTTCAAACAGCTACACTTTGTTGACGTTTTTCAGGAGATTAACGATTATTGTTTGATTGATGGCGATGACAAAGACGGATCGGAAAATTACGGAATTGATTACGCTTAAACTGTACTAATTTGCGATTGTACAGCTAAGATATATTAGATCTCAACAAAAAAACAAAAAAGAAAAAAGGAAGTACCATTTGCAATTTTTTTTGAAGTTGATATTCAAATTTGGTGTTATAAAGAGATATGTTGTTTAAAGATATGCAAATATAATGCGCTGATAAAATTCAAATTTGAAAGTAAACCAAACATTTCCGGAACAGGAAGAATTCAAGTATAAAACTTGAAAAATTCTGTGAGCACTAATAACAGAAGGTCAGTTGACTGTGCATAAAAAAAATAAATAAATAGAGAACACTGTTGTGTGTTATTGTAAACTGGCGTCTTTGTTTCGTTTGAATTGGGCCTGTCGGCCATAGAAAGCACGTTTCGGTATCTCTGTTTGAGCGCCGTCCCATTATTAGCACATCAAAGTTCAACTGGATCCAGCGGAGGTGTTCGATGATTCATGTTGTCTACAGGGTTTATAACTTTCGTTAACCATTGCTGTTTTAATACTGTGATGTGGCCAACAGTTACTCTTAATATACTTTCACTATGTTGGATCGATGAAGGTTGTAAATGGAATCAATGATAATTCATGGATTTTTAAAGAGACTCGGATTCACAGGGTGTAAGCTAGAGATTTCTGGATTTATACTCTTCACCCGTATCCGTTTTATTTTGATCTGCTAAATCCTTTGAATATTCTTTTGCTGTAGCCGTTCGGTTGACATTTACAGTTCCTCTACTTCAGTTCTGCTCTCATTTCTTGTATAATACAGTAAGAGGGTGACAACAGGGAAATAAGCTTTCTTCATTAACGGCAGAGAGTTCATTTGTTGGAAAATGGAGCAAAATTTTTCAATTTTTTCCAATCGTCGGCATGTTGAAATCATCTAATGATATAACACATTTAGTTGTGTAGTTTTATTATGCAGTAATTATACTTTATTGATTCGTTACATCCAACTGTATCATACTTTTTGTCGATGATCAGAACGAAAGCTTTTTAACACACACATCGTTTACTTGGCTACTTTGGAGAAGGAGAAAAAGTATTTTTAAGTCTACTTTTTTTTTAAATCAAACTTTCACTGTTAACCATTATCAATTGGACTGTATATCGTCAACAACGGTATTTACATGCCTGGTCAACAGCAAAACACCATCCGTTAGCGGTGTCCGTGGCATCATCCAGCGAGTAAATTTTTCGTTTCCATTTGCACTGAAATTATCATGACTATGTTAGTATTCAGTAATTTATCGCACATTAAGCTAATTAGGGTTGATTCTTGAAATCAAGGGTTCGTTCTTGTACCTTTTTTTTATTGTTGGTAAACAGCAATGAAACAATCGCCGTACACTTTTTTCTTTTGCTATTTGCCTATTTCGTTATCTCAAAGTGGATAATTGTTTTAAATTCCTGCTGCTTTTAGTTTTACAGTTCTTACCTTATGTGTGAAAATCTTGCAAACTTAACTGAACAAATCTTGATGATCAGAAATATGTTACATGACACATATTTTTTGGCATTTTCTAATTTTTTTGTTCTACTGTTTAAAGGTTTATATAAGCTGTAAAAATAAGCTGTCATATGAGCTGCTTATACAGCCAATAATTGGAAAAAATAAATAAATAAAAGTAAGAAAGAAAGAAAAAAAGATGAAAACGTTTTATTTACATTTTATTTTTACTGCCTATCTTTAGGAAAAAAAAGATAGGAATCAAAATAGAAGTCAGACGGGTTTATCCTAATAAACGTTAGCTTGCCTTGCCCTTTATGAGTGTCAAAAGGTGAGGTATTCGATCTAAAGATCTGGATAATTGTCACATGTGTACCTAAAAATGCTGACAATGACGAAGATACTGGTGATGGTAATTTTGGCCTTTACTGAAAAGAGGAGGCGACTTCAGCAAAGACGTCATTCAGTATCTTCTAATTCTTCTTCATATTCTCGACTTAAATTAAATCTAAAGACAATAACTAAATTTTTTTCCGATTTAGACATTATTATCCATGTCATTCATTGGAGGGGGAGACTTACGGCGTGGTTTTTCTTCACCTTCGGTCTTCACTTCACATTTCTCTCACATTTTTTCATATCATCCTTCATTATGAAAGAGGAAGAAAAATAGTTTTTTCTGCACATTTGAAATTTAACAAAATTTCTGCATTATACATTAGCCTAGGAGGAGGAGGGCAACGAGAAGAAAAAAATATACTCAGTGATAAAATATAAATTTTTGAAGTTCGTTCAAGTGAGTGACTTATTGGATTTTGCAAGAGGTTCTAAGAACTAGTAGGTATATTTTTCATTGAAAATGATCGTCTTTTAATGCTTTTCTAAAATTTTTGCAATATTATTTTTTTTTTCTTTTTAATTCAGTACTTTTCTTCCTTTTTTTTTCCTCTATTTATCGGACTTCAGTGGTTCTTTAACGTCAGCTGAACTATTTATACGATAGTTCTGATGCTGTCAATTGTCAGCTCAATTACTGGGTTTGACTAAATCGTCGATCACAGAACATGAACCACGGAGGTAGCTAATGATGTTTGTAACCATGGATATATATAATACGTATATCCATCTGTTTCAATCTCAGACATATAGAGAATAATCTCTTATTTAAAGGCAGTTACAGCAGTATACAACGAATTACGGCAATACTTCCTTGAAAATATTTTGTTCGTCAGTTTTTCCTCCTGAATGCTAAGGTAATTTCATGGCAACTTCGGGCTTTAGCAGTTGTCTACATACAAACTCTACTTTCTATGATCATCATATCCGAGCAGTTCCAAGAGTATTTTTTTCATCAAATGTTGCTCGAATTCTGGTACAGTTTTGAGCGATCTCTTTTCCTAACAAATTCGTCATTTAGAGAATATTGTTGAGACACTAGGGATAAAAAGTTTCAAAAAATTTTCTGGTAATGATCAAAACATAAGAATATTTGAATGGTGTAGATATTTTTTTGAAAAGCATTAGTTGAACAAACACTCTAATAATGAATATGCAAGTTTAACTGGAAAAAGTAACTGTGATGGTGATAGAATGAACAGCAGGAGCAAAAAAATAAAACAAGAAGTAGAGACAAGACAAGGAACTTTTTGTTTGGAATTAGAATAGGATGAAGTGTGTAATGAAAGCATCACTAAATGTTTTTATCTGGTAATTTTTGCAATTCCCATACGCTTCTTTAAGTGGATGTTTTTAATTATGAGATGTAATCAAAATGGGAAAAAATCAGGAAAAATAAATACTTTTTTGACTTTGAAAAAATAATTTTCTTTATCCTTACTGCCTTCTATTAACCGGAACGAGAGTGAAAGCTGTTGTCGTTAGTTCAATCCAAGATGTGATACCGGTGGGAAAAAAATGTTTACAGTATATCCAACAGCAACAAAGTCCTTAGTATTTGTATTGGTCAATCATCAGCACCGTGTGAAGCACGTGTTTACGGGGTTGATGACGAGCGGCACAAAAGATTTTCTGCTTATTTTCTTTCATTTAGATTATTGTCAGTAAAACAAAATTAATATAGACTTTTTTTTTTTGACA